TGTTGCAAAAATGGAGTCTTGGGCTAGCTCAACCTCAGCCTAGTCCTTTCCACGAAGTGTATCCGATGCAGAAAAGTAAAATACTAGTGATAGTGGCGCGCCCCTGCGCGCGGGTTGGCACCACAGATACTGTTATGTTAATACTTGAAAAGTGAAAAACACTAAATCTATTCAGTGAATGGGAATGTATGAGATAAAAGAATCGAAGAGCCAATGTAATTAAAGTCTACATGTATCTTAATTAAATCATCTTAACAGAGTAGGCCCGGCTCATTTACAAAACACTATGGACTGACATAATGTGAGATTCTCGTCGCTGTTTTATTGTCCATAGTTGACCCTAGGCATTCACATTTTCAAGACATGCAGAACTAAAAAGATAGAGTCAGGTGCATGATGGCACACAGGTATTGTTCTTGCATAACTTAAACTTAGCGGCCAGGAAAAACAACATCAGTGATAAAGTCAGGTGCAGTCAAACACTTCACAGAATTCAACCTAATAATAAGATAATGTAACTGTTAGGAAACCTATCAGTTCATTTTCGGTGTTAGAACACGAAGTGAGAGGACCTGTGTGCGCCCTTGCACACGGGCTGGCACCACAAATAAGCACAAAGCAGAGCTAAACTGTTCGGAGATTACAAACCTAGGTAACACATTAATAACATAGAGTCAAGATGTTTGAGATTACATACTTAAAACCACAGTAATCGATGTGTGCCCATGCGGGCGTGGAATCATTGGAATTCCATTTGGTAATGCTGGGACAGATATGACCAAGTTGATACAAAATATAATACATTATAGGATACATTGATCTCAGTAAGCAAACATAGGCATACCATTGGGGCATCACTAACACACGACAACTCAATGCAAAAACAGAATCTTCAGTTAAGGGAGCGTGTTAGGTAGTTGTCGCCGAGATGAAGCGTCGCTAGGCAGGCACAGAATCAGCGGAATGAAGTCCGTCCTTGAAAACAAATCATCTGAGGCCCAATTTTCTTCTGTGCACACAAAAAAGTAAACCATGAAGCATCCAACACCCACATAAGCTGACTGTGCAAGTTCATAGATGGAGATGAAACACTTCTAAGAGATAGCCCCTAGCTACTTGTTTTTAAAGAAATTTAACATACAGCAAGACAACTGCAAAGAAACATTACAGGCTTCATGAACTTCTTTTTTGTGACGACTGTTACCAATTTCATAATAGGAGAAAATGCAGTTTTTGGGGGAACTGGGTTAATTGCTTATTGCAGAAATTAACCAAGAAAAGAAGTGGGCATACTATAGATTCAGGTGATGGCTGAAACCTTATGATTTTTAGTTCAACATTTGATATATCTATCTGGGACAAATAGAAATTTGTCATCACTGGCTGATGTAAAATAGTATAAAGCATGTATACAACAATAGTATAATGTAAATCATTATCTATGAAATATAGCAAATGCTCTAAACCTATAATAGTTATTGTGTTACTAAACCCACTTATTTAGAAGTTCTAATCTTGTTTGTCTGAAGAAACAATGCAGGTGACATATTGCTTCGCTAGACAGCCCAGGCACCTCCTTGCTGCTATTGCTAACCTACCTTGCTAATATTGAAAACATATTGACAGTCCCAGAAAAAAAGCAGCAAGCAAAAGGCAAGACAGTCCAAGAAAAAAATGGGACATGGAAGCTCATAGGTGCGCCATGTAGGAATTAGAAATTGAAAGAAGGGAATGACATTCACCTTATTTGCATACTCGTGTCTTCCTGGATTGCACCCATGTAAAAGGACTATAATTTTGTCACTGTGTGCAACTGCAATTAAGCCATTATTCATAAGCTTAATGGCAAATGTACCTGTAGAAGGTCAGAATTAAAATGATTGGCATAAACATAACCAAATCCATCCAATGTAACTATTTATTTCAGTTAACCAATTTACAGTACCTAACCAGCAGAAGCAACTGACAAGCTTAACATTTTCATTTTAGTTATTTCAGTCATGGTCGAACTTATGGGAAACATGTACGGCTGAATGCTAAGCTAAACATAGAGCTATAATCTTCCACCTAATTTTACTAATTTTTATAGATATTCCATGCATTCATAATGTAGAAAATCGAGCATCAGTATCTTAATTCTCTTTGCTTTGTATGAACTAAAAGCTTCAGTTATATGGGACCCAAGGTAACAAAGCAAGACAAACAACTCACCTAAACCAGGAAATGCACACAAATAACTAAAAGCTTCAATTATATGTAACACTGCCACTGTCGAAGAACCATACTAGCACAATGCAGACAGAGGGGGGGGTCAGGCACAGCTCCGCTGCAGGCCCGACACAGCTCCTCCGCAGGTCCGGCGCAGATACACTGCAGCTCCTCCAAATCAACCCAGCAGATTATTCAGGTAACTCATAGGTAATTACAGTCATCCAACCACGAAAGTGGCAATGTTCAGGTTATTACCTTATTGCAGGCAGCCTTGAAATTGAAATAGGAGTGTTCTGTAAAGCTGATGCCAATTCATGAATTGTTCTTAGTTCTCACATGCAAACCTGAAAAGAGCTGACACCAATTCATGAATTGAATGTTATATTTCTTGGCTACAAACGAAAATATGAAGCAAAAACGTCAATAAACAGTGACATACATATGAAAAACGAAAGCCTGCCTAAATGCTGAACTGAACGTCCACTTGGCTGGCATTTTTCATAGGACCATCTTGTTATCAAGATCCTAAATGGCAATACCTCAGTAATATGCAATTGTTTCAATACTTGGCACATTAAATCCTAGATAATTAAGTCAGTGAAGATAGAAAAAAAGAGAACTGAAAAGTAATCTCTTTGTATGGTATGGCTCAGAAAATATGGCCTTGGAATATTCTTAGATGCAATACTGCATAATGCTTGTCCATTACTAATACATATGGTCATTACTAATACAAATGGCCAAAAAAATTTCTATTAGAAACTAACCAAACCTTCTTTTTTTTTTGCCGAAATGGACCATTTTTTGGCTTGCATATCACAACTGTTCCAACACAATACATTATCAAAAAGGCCAAACTTTTAATTTATAATCAAATCAAGCCAACACAATGAAAAAAATCAGGTAGGAGACTGAATTAGGAGGCGTCTTTATATCTCTATTAGTCCATTTTCTTTGTGTTAGAACACCAAGTGAAAGGCTTTGCAAGTAGTATAAGCTGAACTGACCTGCATCGGTTCAGTCATTTTCTCAAGCAGGTAGCAGGTGGCAAGCAGGCATACGCAGCGATGGGCGGGGAACTTGTCGATGGTGTGCATCTTGCCGGCATGAGACACCTCAGATCTAATGCAAACCTGCAGGCAAAAGAAAAAAGTCGGTGTTGTCAGCATATAAAGAACAGATCACGACACTGGCCAACCAATAAAAATGAAAGAACAAAAAAAAACGTACGAATTGCTCCAAGGTTTGGACGACACTGGTCCAGCTTGAGGGCACTGCCATGGCCTAGCCCACCTCGACCGACCAGGTGTGTGCCCACCCTGCGCAGCTCGGCCACACAGTATGCAGCGGCTCTTCACCCAAGACGGCGGCCACAAGCGCGGGAGGACCGATCCGACCATGGAGGCACCGGATCGACCCAGCAAAGAAGGCAACAAGCACAGATCGACGCTGGCCATCGGCGAAGGAAAGAGAGGAGCAGGGTGGGAGGCAACCTTCACTGCGTGCTCGCTCGCGCCGAGCCCCCAGCCTCTGGGGGCGCCTAGAGAAACCACCAGCTGCTGGGGGCGCGCTCTCTCATGTTGCCGCAGCACCGCCAGCTGGGGGAAGGCATCGCTAGGGCGCCGCGCTGCCGCCCTCGCCTCGCACCCGTGCCCGGAGCCGAGAGAGCTGGAGAGCCGAGCGCGCTCGCCCGCGCCTGCCGCCGCTGCTGCGCTGGGGCAGCCTCGCCTGGGCGCCGCGCCGCTGCCACGAGAGAGAGGAGGGAGAGGGAGGAGATGCACGAGAGAGCTGGGGTTGGGTTGGAGGCAGTATATACTCGCCGAGGCCCCGCGCGGTTTTGGGCAGACGGGCAAAACGGCACAAGAACCACAGATCACGAATCAGATGGGCAAAATTTTTTTTGCTACCGTGGACATGCTGGCGTCGCGAGCTGGCCACAACGAATTTACTCTTTAGATGGCCGAGAAAGAGATGCAGTGCAGCACAGTGGATTCTTGCGTTCATCTTGTATTCGATGCATTCCTCTCAAAAAAAAAATCTTGTATTCGATGCATCGACACTTCGACAGAGTGGTCTCCTGATACGTTGTTAGTTGTAAAGGCTCGTATTAAATTGAGAACATAAACCCGAGTAAGTAGGTTCTATCTTAATGAACCTAACTAGCTAGTTTGTTATGTGTCTTGCGGTGAAATTACACACCGTGCTTATTTACATTTGAGTTTGCAACTAAGTTTTATTATTCATATTTAGGTTAATGGCCCTTGTGTTGGTCGATCATGTGTCCATCAACTGTTTGTGGTAACTTCGTTAATTTAAAATTTATCTAAATTTAGTCAGGGTTTGAGTCACTTTTAGGTGTTGTACTAGCAAAAGTGCCCGTGCGTGCAACGGGAGAAAAGGTATAGCGTCATCCAAAGTTTTGATATCTATGTGTTGTTTTGTCTTGAAAGCTATAGTTTTTGACTCAATATATTTTCTTCTACTTAAGTAATCAAATGCATCTATGCCATAGCGCAGGTGAGCATGAAGGGCCAGGGGCACACGTTTTCACTTCCACTTCCAATTATACCATCAAAGAATCAACAAATATAATGGAGCATACTGCTTATAGTGTATAAACACTTCATCGTGCAAATTTTGTTAAAGTTGAGACCAATAGCACACAATTAATCAATGGGAAACATAATACCGTATCTTTTCTTTTCTTTCTTTTTTTTATTTTTCTTCTTCTTTCTTTTTCTCTTCTTTCTCATCCATATCTGCTAGTTTGGAGTCGGAGTCACGTGGTCTCATCCACTCACACCCTGAGGCCTCCAACTTCGTCCACCTGAAGCCTTGCCAAGGCCGCCATGGAGCCTTGATGGGCTGACGATCACATCACCCCGGCGGCCACGGAGCCCCAACGCGACCACGCCCCGGTAGCTCCACACGACGGTGTCCCCATAGCCTGGCAGGTACATGTGACGGAGCCCCAGTGGCTGCACGCCCCAACGACTTGGCAGCTCGCCCACGTCGCCGTCTCCTCTCTCCTCGACCTTGCCCCGCGTCGTCGCCATCGCCCATCCTCACCTCGGTCTTGCTCACATCATCGTCTCATCAGGTTGCCCCTCCGTTGCCCAAGCCATCGTCTCCACACCTCACGCCATTGTCGTTCCGATCTCAGCATCTTTTCGCGTCGCCTCGCCTGCGCTGACATGGTGCCTTGCATATTTGGTTTAATTGGTGTTCAATTTAACCCAATTTGTATTCAGTTTATTTATTGAGTCGTTGTATTGTATTCGGTCTCTCCTATTGCATCCATTTTATTTATTGAGTCGTTGTATTGTATTCGATTTCTCCTATTGGATTCGTATGGGGAGTCCATCACGTTGGAGGCGGCGACACAAATCAAGGAAAGAAAAATTATTAAAGATTTGATCCAAACTGAACGGCACATTGAAAAGAGGATTACCAGACAAGAAATCAGAATCCGAGTAGAGATCGGAGTTGGATGAAAAAATTGTGGTAGAAATTTTGCCCCTTTATTATTAGGTATAGATATAGATATGTATATAGTATACTATATATATGTGCATGTGTACATATCTTACATTGTTACTAAAAAACATTCATACATGAGGGTGCCGACACTTTCTACGTAACGTATAGGTCTTGATTAGATACACTCACATCCTAATCCACTTCAATACATGTGGATTAAGATAAATACGATTACATCCAAACAAGCTCTTAGACAGGATGTGTGTGAAAATTGATGATTTTTCATGGGAGCTGGGGTATGCCTACATGTATCTATAGGAGTCGTAGTGTGTGAATCTCTATCTCTATATCTTCTCTATCTCTACAACTAAAATGTACGGATTGTCAACGTCTACCTGGCAACACCAAAACCACCATGCAATCCATGACTACCCGGCGCAGAAAAGGAAAATTCACAACCCCTCACCCGCAGGCAGAAAATCATGCGGAAAAATCTCACCCCCGCAATCACGCATGAGCGAAAAAAAATACCCGTCAATCATGATCACGCCTGCATCTCCCCCTCCATTGCGAGCCCGCAACCCCTACCTGCAATCACGCACGCGTGGAAAAAATAAATTCTGATCAATCACGATCACACCCGAGCACCTCGACGCCTCGACACCGCTGCGCCTCCGGACACGTCACTGCCCTGCCGAGCGGCAGGTATGTCAATGTCCAAGACGCGGTCCGGTGAGCAACGATTCCCTCGTCTATCCCGACGTAGCTGACACCAGTTGGTGTGCAAGCTATACCTGCCGTGTTGATCTCCGATCCATCGCTCCGTGCCAATTGATCGGACAGGCAGCTTGCCCTGTTGAATTGGGCCACAACACGGGTCGCTTCTTCAAGGTCCCCTCTTTACAAATTCAGTTTTTTTTGAAACGCTCCTTACAGGGTGTACGTTCGGACGGACGGACCCACACTCGCCCCTGTCCGCGTCGCCCGCTCGTTCTGAACACGTCCTCGCCCGCGCCACCCCTGCTTGTGCCCCCGCCACCTACCCGCACCGCGCATGGCGAGCCGCACTAGGCGCTCACTAGTTCGCTCACGGACTCCCGCCTCTCGCCACAATCGTGCTCCATCCGCCTACCCCTGCTCCTGCTGAGGTCCGTGCCACCGACGAGCTCCACACCGGCGACCTCCATGCCACTCCGTGGCTTCGAGCTCTGTGCCAGCGTCGAGCTCCACGTCGACGAGCCTCCATTCGTCCAAGCAACAAGTAGATGCTACACTGAAAGCACATGTTACAATAGTATGTTTCAAGTGTTTCAGATGTTTCTGAGGTATGTTGCAAGTGTTGTATATCGATGTTACAAAAGTAGATCGGGATGTTGTATAAGTTGTAGTGGCTATACACATATGTTTCAAGTGTATGTTCCAAATGTTTTATCTGTTCCAGACAAATGTTGCAAGAGTTTTGTCTGGATGTTGTAAAAGTAGATCTAGATGTTGCATATACATGCATGTTGCAAGCATATGTTTCAACTGTTTTCAAGTGTTTCATATGTATGTTTGCAAGTATTTCATTTGGATGCTGCATATGGTTGCAATGGTTTTTAAATGTTTTGCAGGCATTTTTGCAAGTGTTTCAGAGGCTTGTTTCAAGTGTTTCATCTATCTTCTTTTGTATGTTGCAACTGTTTCATCTTGATGTTTCAAAAGTATATCAGGTGTTGCATATAGGATGCGCATGGGAAGCGGTCGCCGGCGCGGACGATGTCTGGGGCGGCGTGGGCGACGTCCGGGCGTCGTGGGACCACTACTGGTGCACTCCCCCACGAGCCCAACACGCTAGGCGCTCGTTCGCTCCCCGTGCGGGCAGGTATCAAGTCTGTTTTTATCTAGCAAGCGTTCAACAAAATTAAATTAATAATGCAAATTATTGAGTGTCGGGGTCATAACCCCAGGGTGTCTCACGGTACCGATTAGTTGGTGGGCCACGTGGCCCACAATATATCAGCTAGCAAATGCCCAAACGATCGAGGCCCAGCTGAGCCAAGCGAACCAGGCTGACCGCCAAGGCCTGGGTCAGCCACGACCTCTCCCTCCATCAGACTTAGCCACATGACGCGCAAAGAAGACACGCAACCTCCCCACCATCATGACCCCTGGGAGAAACGAGGAGAGGTCAAGCCCAGCCAAACACGCCTGCTATGGCAATAGTAAGCATGCTACTCTAACTCCGCAAGGACCGAGGGGACAACGGTCACCTCGGTCCGGTCAGATGCCATCCCTGTGCTACGCTATGCAGACAAGACAACATGCACGGCGATGACAACTGGTATGGCGATCCACCATCCAAATCTGGTCCGATAGGACGCATGTACGATTCTACCCACCACAGGATGGGATCCACGACAAAGGCCATGACTTAGAGGCCATCCAATCCGGCGGGAGCCATGACCCCAACGATCGGGATCGTGGCCCTCAGCTCCTCAAACCAACAAGGCGATCAATGACCTAGGGGCGGCTACCAACTCATGTACGATGCCCCAGGAATCCAGGAGGCGATGACGAAGACCATGGTGAGGACCACGTCGCACAGGACAGCTGGCAAACCACCCCCGTTCCTACAGTGCCGCCACGGCCGGCATAGTAGCACCACGTCACACCATGCTGCGACGTGGCTACAAGACCATGATGACAACCACACCCAAACGTGCTCCACAAGACGGCGTAGCTTGCAAGCCAAGTTAGCTAGGACCTCCCTTAGGCTCACGACCCTTTGGTCGAGAGAACCTTCTTTGTATACGCCTTGGCCTCAGACTCTATATAAGGGTGGCCGGGGCACCCATCTTGGGGACGATTCGATCCAACTCTCATTCTATCATTCTTACTCTGTAAAAGGGCTCCTGAAGGTTCCCTTCGGGCAGCCCATCTCCTAGCTCTAGATCTCCTACCTGTTCTACCATTCTTGCACCCCCATTGTAAAAACTTCAGAGCATTCAAGCAAGGAACACGCACTCGATCATCTCTGAGACTGGACGTAGGGCTCCGGCCTAAACCAGTATAACTCCTCCTGTCTTTTGGATGCTACCATGATCTTCCTAGAGCAGCGCGGCAATCATATAAATTCACTAGTCTAGTTTACAAAACACCGACAGTTGGCGCGCCAGGTAGGGTACAGTCGCACACTCTTGATTGTTGAGCAGGAAGCGATGGCTCCATGCACCGTTGGAGGACTCGCTGGTAGAATGGCCCACGGTGGCCACATCTAACGTGAAAACTATGTGTTCATCGATGTCGAAGGGCCAGTGCCTGTGTCCACATTCAACCGCACCCTAGACCTCCGCTTTGGGGATCTAGACCCCGTGGTCTATGGCGGATACACTCTCAGAACTGCCCTCAACGGCAGCATCCCAGAGTCCACCTACATAGGGGCCTATACCCTCACTCATCACCAACCATGGCCAGATCTTCCATCCAGGAAGCCTGAAGACCATGGCCCGTGACGAACTCACCTAGGGAATGACCTCAACCGGCCACATCCTTTTGGGAAACCACGAGGTTATCCGCACTAATGGATCAGCGCCCATCACTAGCTTCTACCCCGACCAGGCCAACCGCATGGGAAGCCTGGACCCGACGGTAGAACCACGCCCCGAGCAGCGTCCCCACAACCAGCAAAGCACAGTGTGTCAGGGCATGCACGAACGACAAAATTACCCGCCACCACGCGGCAACGTCGTTAGTGATCAGGCGGCTACCCAGCACCACACCTCGTGTAGCGATGCCCAGGACCTATGCGGCAGACAAACCATCCATCACATCTCAACGAGCCGTCAGTCTTCATTCAGAGGCACGTGCATCCGAGGAAGTGGGCCCCCTGAGCGCACCACGCGCCGCGCTGAGTGGACTAACTCGCGTTGCCCTCAGAACCCGCACCCGCTGCGACAGCTCGCACCGGCTCTTCATCAAGAGCGGCAGCCGCACCCAGAAGCGAAGACGCGATGACCGTGACATCGTCACACCACGAAGACTCACGCACTAGGACACACGAGCCCTCCTGACCAGAAGCCACGGCAAGCCAGACATAAAGAATCCATCCTCGGGAGCTCACGAGCCCGCTGAGGATGTCGAGCCGGCAAGGGCCGGCCTAAGGCAGCCTGGGAGGACGATCCACACTAGCTACGACCACCCGAATGGTAAAGAGGCATCATCACCAGCTCGTAGCCCAGGGACTACGACAATTCCACCACAAGCAAGCGATCGGGAGTTCACCTCAGCACGAGCTGTAGCGGCAGGGCGACCGTCTGCTCCCTAAACAAGCATCGGTGATATCAATCATGTCCCTCTCTTCGTTATTTGATTGCATTCACATACGCGCATAGATGCAATGACGAACCCGACTAGCTAAAATGAAGCATAGAATTGATTTAGGGACACAGAACCCACGCATTTTTGTCTCCGAGGCATTTCACCTTCCTGACGTCCCGACTCGCCTCTCACAGGCAGCCAATACGGCATTTCGTAGGGGGAGTGTACGTAAGGTCCCCCACCAACACTCACTCTCACCGCCTACGCCATGCAGCAC